AAAACGGAACGGACTCACCAAATTCCTTCTCGATAGATTAGACTAATCAAATCTCCTGTGGACCTGGGTTCAACTCCCAATCTCTTTTAACTCCCCCCACTCGTGAGATGCCCTACTATAGTTATGAAAAAAAACAACAGCACAAAACGCCGCTCGAAATATGCTGGAACAAAACCGCAAACTATACCAAAATAAATATTCTATCGGGCCCCACGTTGAGCGCCAATTTGTCACCTCCACTTTTTTTATTTACAATATGTATGTGCGCATGTACATACGTACATACATATGTATACCTACAGTGGCTGTTGGTCAAACGCCTACTAACAACCACACACGTCAAAACAAACTACCGCACAAAAAGGAGATGACAACAACTAACAAAGGGACCGGCCAGCTAAATGAAGACAGCGTGGGTCAACAGCTAAGTACACTAACAACATCCAACGGGGGGAAAAACAACACCAAGCGAGTTTTGCTAACGCGGTAAACATATTGCTCGACAACAAAGATTTAACAGCAAATTCAAGCTACAGAACAATTCAACAAAATATGTTTTTGGGTGCACCCGAGGTGTGGTCCAACCAAACTGGTTACGAACCCACTCACACTACTCCCGGGCTGCCGGGGGTAACTTTAACCCGCCTGTATGACTGGGCTCTGGGTGCGGGATGCTAGAAGGATTGGTAGGGACGTAACAAGGGTGGTGGCACTGTCGGCAAGACAAAGCGCAAGCAAACAATAAATACACGAAATGACACTTATTAGTTTCTCGGTCGGGTGTGGGTAATCAACTTCGGTGCTCCTTCGGATGATAACGACGTCAAACTCTGGTTCCGCCACTGGAATATGAAAAAAACCTATTTTGCACTGTGCTTCGACTGCCCTTAAACAAGCCCCGACTGGCTTAAAATTTTCACTACCTTATTTTTTTCTTCTTTTTTTTCTTTTTTTAAAAACACACAAAACAATTCGCACGCCTGCGTAAAAAGAATGTTCGCACACTTTTGTAGATTGCAAGAATCTGATCCGGCACGCACCTACGAATCAGGCTGCAAGCTACGCGTCGGCCTTCAAAATTCCCCTGCGAGTGTGTATTGGTGCCCAATCATTTGGCACCGCCCCCATTACCCAAAGGGACCGGTTTGTATAGCGCACGCCGCCATGGCACACCAAGTACACTCGCCGCATCAAAGAAAAAGGCGACGCCCCTTTTTACGGAATTCCCGCGCAAAACATTCCGTTGCCCTAATATTTGTTAGTGGAGGAACCGTTTTGGGGAACACCTCCTTTTGGAGACTTATACCACTGGCACACACCGAGTGCAACCGTGCCATCAATCCATTTCTTCAAATAATGCAACTATCTGTTGACAGATGTCACTGGCAACGCTTGGAGCGAAAGGAAGCTTAGGCAAAACATAGGACAGACACAAAAGAAGGTTTTGTTGCGGCCAGTACGCGACAACATAAGATATTTGACTCACAGTAGCACCAATGAAAGCCTCTTCTCTGGACCAATACGTTGTTTGGGTTTCCATAAGGATTTAATTAACAAATTTAAAAGCAGATCGAAAATGTTTGGAGGCATTCTCGTATGCATCCATGAGCTCAAATGTTTGTAGTTGGTAGTCGGTGCTCCAGTTTTTATTTATTGGACGAATTCTATATCGCCACCGGCTTTTTGTGATTTTATACTTTTAGTATAAATTGTACAACTCGCACAAACTGAGGATCAAATCATCAATGTCTTGGACTTCCATATTTGCTTGTACACTTTTGATAATATAACAGAGGAAATTTTCTAAAATAACAGAACCGTCCTTTTTTTTACAATAACACGAGTAAAATAGAATATTCCTATATGTTATTTTATGTGTAATTACAACATCAAAACAAATTTAAGAAATGGAATGTATGCAAACGTCGGCAAATATCTGTAGAATAGCTGATTTTGCCGTTGCCAGCTACGTCAACAATTGAGTATGAATCTCGCTCCCCCAGTCGGCTGTCATGGATGGAAGGTAAGTAAAATGGGTAATTGCAGCATAAACCGTCCAAGGAGGGGGCGGATTGAAACGTTTACGAGAGCAGCGCAAGTCCTTGCATAACTTTGGGCGTTGGCTAATTGCTTCATGCATATATGCTAGCCTCCTATGGCATTAAGTAAAGACCACGAGCCTAGTGCTCCACTTGAATACATTCAAACATTCTCCGAAGCAGAGCCCGAAGCAAAAGAGTGTTGGTGAATTGGTATAAAATGCAAGCATCGTAGAAATGGAAAAGGAAAAGGAAAAGGAAAAGATTATGTTAAAAATAATTCTATATGAATATGTTGCTTGTGTGTTTCAAATTATATTCATCCGGAATTTAAGTATATGTTATATTTTATTTAATGATATTGTTATATTTTATTTAAAATAGCGTACTTGTGTATACGTGTATGTATGTGTTTGTAGCTCACAATCAGACATTGCTTTTTAATTTTTGTTTGATTAATTTCACAAAATCGCTCGCGTTTTAGGTATTTACGTATATTATTTTTTTTTATAAGGAAACTCTAAAAACAAAAGTACTTTTAAAATGCACTGAAATATTTTTCGTCCACATACCTTAAAAGACTATATTTCAAAAGCATTCCTCTGAACCAACACAATAAGAGGCTTGGGGCAAGTGTTGCCAAATACCCAGAATGCATCTATGCCCACTAACTTACTTACTTTACTGTCGTAGACACGGCTTACGCATTTATAGCCGATTTACAACAATATGGCATTCGTTTATTCGTTTTGCTGAATGGCGCCGATTGGAAATACCAAGTACAGCCAGGTCCTCTTCTACCTAGTCCTTCCAACGGAGTGGAGGCCTTCCTCTTCCTCTGCTTCCACCGGCGGGTACTGCTTTGAAAACTTTCAAAGCTAGAGTATTCGCATCCATACGGATCACATGACCTAGCCAGCATAGCCGCAGCTTCTTGATTCGCTGATTTATATTAATGTCGCCGTATAACTCGTACAGCTCATCGTTCCATTATCTGGGGTATTCGCCGTTGCCAACGCGCAAAACCTTTCTCTCTAATACTCTTAACGCCGTCTTATCAAATGCTGTCATCATCCATTCTTCCGCACCCTATAGCAGGATGGGAACGATGAAGGACTTGTAGAGTTTGGTTTTCGTTCGTCGGGAGAGGACTTTAATTTTCAATTGCCTACTCAGTCCAAAATAGCACCTGTTGGCGTGAGTGATTCTGCGCTAGATCTCGAGGCTGACGTTATGATTGGAAATACTGGTCCCAACAGTAACGTGGGAGCCAAGTCGCGAAGGCGATGACTCTTTGTTTGATGACCAAAGATTTTTTGTCCTAGTTCACTATTAGACCCATTCGCTTCGGTTTTTTTATTAAGCCTGGAGAAAGCAAAACTAACGGCGAGGCTGTTGAGGCCGATAATCTCAATGTTTTCGGCGTACGCCAGTATTTCCACACTCTTATAAAATAACGTACCTTCGCTATTCAGCTATTATTATTCTCTCTACCATCAAATTGAAGAAATCACACGACAAAGATTCACTCTGTCTGAAACTTTATGGAGCGTCCTGTCGAAGGCTGCTTTAAAACGACGAAGAGGTGGTAGTGTCGATCCTCTTTTCACGGGTATTTTCCAATATTTGGCGCATGGTGAAAATCTGGTCAATGGTTGAGTTACCAGGTCTGAAGCCACACTGATAAGTCCAATCAGTTTGTTGACGGTAAGCTTCAGTCTTTCGCACAATACGCTCGACAGGACCTTATAGGCGATACTAAGAAGGCTTATCCCACGGTAATTGGCGCAGACTGTTGGATCCTCTTATTTATGGACATTCGTCGGGCATGCTTTCGTCCGACCATGTTATGCAAAGTGGCTGATGCTTGTATCTTGTCAGCTCTTCGTCGCAATGTTTGAATAGTTCTGCAAGTAGACCGTTAGCTCCCGCCGCTTTGTGGTATCTTAAGCGATCGATTGCTACTCGGACTTCTTCTTTTCTAGGGTTTGAAGACACTAGCAGCATTAAAGCACTCGGCATTAAATGGAATGCTCACTCTGATTATTTTTATTTTACAACCAAGGCCAAAAGTAAAAACAAAGATAAGGTTCATCATCATCAACTGCAAGATCTGTACAATCTTCAAGAGACGCGCACTAAATCAGTTTAGGGGGAACCTTCCCCAAAAACGATGCACCTATTCGCGTGCGTTCACTAACACCGGCGTAGATTTCACTGGATCTTTCGACATCAAAAGTTATCGCGGCCGCGGGTGCCATTATAAATCCATCCACTTAGAAGCCACGAGCAACTTGAGTTCAGTATAGTTTCAAGTTGCTTTTAGTAGATTCATTGCCAGACGAGGATGCCCGAAGAACGTCTACTCTGATAATGGAACTCATTTTGTTGGAGCATCACGAGCGTTCAAAACAGAACTCAAGATCTTCATAGCCAATGCTCGCAGCAATACTCTTTCAAAATATTCCCACTAACTGAGGCCTTGGCATTTTATACCACCTGCCGCACAACACATTGGTGGGCTATGGGAATCAGGCGTTAACAGCTTTTCAGGAAAATTGCATCAGGAACCAAATATACCTTTGCGGAACTTAGTACTCTTTTATGCCGGATTTAGGTTTGCCTCGATTCCCGGCTACCGAGCCCAGCCTCAAATTACCCAACGGAACTGGAACCTCTCACTCCCGGTCACTTAATTGCCGACATTTATTAGCTCAGCAGAAATGGATGTGAACAAAACCCCTGCTTCACTCATCCTATCGTGAAAATGAAGATAACCTAGTACTCAATGAGTGGATATTACGAAGGGTGATCAAGCTACATCACGTAATGACAATCGGGTACGTGAACAAAACCTCTAGCAAAAAAACCAATAAAAAATAAAATGATCTCAATTTTCAGCATATTCAAACTCGCTTTGTGCTATTACGCTGACTCTCCCTAAGTATTATACTCGTGTTATTGTTATTAAGATGTTTTTATTCAGTATTCCTTAGTTGAACAAAGATTGACTTGAATCATACAATTTTAATTCAAATACATTCGTTTACAATGACAAAATGGCAGCGTACATCATTAGAAACACTTAAATTTTTTAAGCTACGAAAACAGTTTTGGAATCAGCCTTACAAAGCGTAAACTATTTTAACAATTTATTTATTCAGAAAACAATATGTTAATGCATGTATTATGTAACCAGATGAGTAAACGAAAAATATTTTAACGAATATTTGGCCAATTTAATACTCAACTATTGAAATCATTACATTGCCTGGTGCCACCTTCATGTCTGGTCTGTCTTCGCCGTTGACTGAAAGAGTCTGTGTCCTAAATTGATTTAAATATACTTCAAGTCAACATTATTAAAAACTATTTTGATAAGTGATTTTTCCACAGCCTCCAAATAATGCGCTTTCTCAGCCAACTGTACCTGCGCTATTCTGGTTTCAAATACGAAAAGAATGAATGGTTTCGCCCGTTCAGCTCTTCCATCGTGTGAAATCGGAATTTCATTGAGCACGAATTAGGTTTCTATTGTTGCGAAAATGCGAGGCGAATGTTCAAATGAAAGAGAAGCCGATAACTAGTATATTCTAGAGCGATAAAACGAGAACCTTCGATAGCGAATAACTCGATTATTTTACGCTTTCGTCTACGAGTAGCCGACTGCTATATAAGGGCGACACTCAGCTGCCAAGAAGTTAGTTACGAAGTAAACAGGTTGGCGACAACATCAGTATAGAGTCGTAAAGTAAACGCCATGGAGATTACATTTAAGTAAAGTAAACTGTGAAAGTCTTATACAAGTGATTGTAGCTAGTAAAGTGCATTGTAATTGAATTGTGAATTACCGAGTAAATAAAGCACATTAGATAAATTCTTTATAACGAAAGAAACTGCAAATTAAGTTGGCGATTCCGAAAATCATCGAGGTTGATTCAGCAAAATCGTAACACTATGTTACCACAATGTTGAATATTTAAACTGTGGAGTAGCGGACAGTTCCTTAGTAGATTCGACAGACCTTCAGTTTCATAATTTTACAGCCATTTATTGATGAAATTTCGAGTTGCGTCAGATTACCAAGTTTATTTAGTACAGAGTCGATTAGTTTCGCATTAAAGTCGATTGGAATTTTTTTTAAGCTTATCATCTGAGATATAAAGGTTAAATTTTTGTCTGATACATTTCCAATGATTCCAGTTGATTCGATCCTATTGCGACCAACGCCACAAGTAAACGTGTCTTTCGGCAAATGGTAGCTACCATTCACTGAAATGGGATTATTTATCGAGCTAGTTTCTCTTGCGCTCATACGTACATAATGGTGAAGTTAAGTAAAAAAAATAGTTTATTTCAATTTTAATTTATTCAAATTTCAGATTTTAATTAAAAATGATTGCATCTCGCTTCTAACTAATTTTACTTTTGCCAAACATAAGTTTTTTTAAATATAACGAAAAGGTTATGGAAAACAAAACATAAGTTTTGTATAGGTTTTATCTCAAAAAAATGCATAAAATGTATTTACTTCCTTTACAATAAAAAGTTTGTTTTCTGCCTGTATGTTGCACGGGCCGATACACTTTCTTACACTCTCTCATCTATATCTACAATAATACTAATTTAACTATTGTTACGATTTTTCTAAATCAACCTCGATAATTTTCTGAATCCTTCGGGTACGATCTCTGGATTGTTAAATTAAAAATTGCCAACTTGATTTGCCGTTTCTTTCGTTATAACGTATTTGTTTAATGTCCTTTATTTACTCAGTAATTCACAATTCAATTACAATGCACTTTACTA